CTCTCTGTTGTGTTTTCTCTGCTGCGCCGGCCGCCCCCTGGGGGAAGCCATAAGGCAAACTCAGCACCTCTTTATGAACGGCTGTGGGAATCACCCATATGTCAACCTTAATTCGGGGCTCAGAGCTCAAACCCCAGCATTTCAGGAGCCTGTTGTGGAATCACAACTCCTGAGATGCAATGTGGCTATCTGCTCCACCACGTGGTCCTCCATGGTTTTCCAGTGGACAAGCTGCATCACCGTTGTCTTCTCCATGGCTGAAAAGGAATCTCTGCTCTGGCTCCTGGAGCACCTCCTGCCACTCCTTCTTCACTCACCTTGGTGTCTGCAGAGTGGTTTCTCTCCCATGTTCAGCCCCTCCTCTCCCAACCCCTTACCAGCTAAACCCTAGGCACTGTCCTTACCCTTGTATTATTATTATGTGCAGTAATGGACTGGCACAGAGGAACCTTGACTGAGGAGAAACTCAGACAGCTCCTGGTGACAGAGGAGGCTGCAGGCAGCTGCCTCTCACCACAGGCAGTGGCAGCACCTGCACAGGAAACACATGGGGCCAGCAATCAAAACCGAGGGGGAAAAAAAAATTGACAGAAAACAAGAAGATTAACAGGGCAGCTAAGCCATGTTGTAACTGCTCTGTCAGTCCTTCCTACCTGGAAATCCTGGGGCCTCTTAATCCCAGCACTCCAAGAACTCTCCATGAGGGCATGGGTATGGCATGCACCAGGAAATGCAAAGACAAGAGCAAGAAAACCACCCCAAAGCCCATGTCATTACTTGGGACGTTTTCCATTCATCATGGGCACCTTCGAAAATTGCTAAATCTGTTTTCCAGAAAAAAAAATTGCCAACCACCTCAGCCGGTGCCTTGCAAACACTCCCAGCAGGGTGACAGACTCGTGGTGGGTTGCTCCTCAGATCTCCCTTTGCTCTGATTCCTCCCAACCCTCTGCCCCAGGTGCTCCTGCAGCCTCTAGACATACCCTGATATTAACCAGTGCCTGCCCTGCCGGCCCTGCGGCCCAACCCCACTGGCCAACAGCTGCAATGAGCCCTGTGTCAGGCAGTGCCAGAGCCCCAGGGTGGCCATTGGGCCTCCTGCTGTGGGGGTGACCCTGCCTGGCCCCATCCTCAGCTCCTTCCTGTAGAACACCGTTGTTGGCTCCTCCACCTCCACTGCTGTTGGCAGCATCCTCAGCTGTGATGGAGTGCCCATCAACTCAGGGGGCTTTGACATCTCCTGCATCACCAACAGCTACTATGGCAGAAGGTGTCCCCCATGCTAAAGCCACTGGTGACAGCTTACACAGTTGTGCCCAGGAACACAGAGCTGATGGTGGACTGATGACAAGGCTGTTGGCTATCGATTTCCGAGAGGCTGAGCATCCAGTGCTCAAGCCTCTGCATATCCTGCAGATGGGGAGGCTGACCACTGCTGTCCTCTAGAGAGAAGCCTGGTGCTTTGAGAGGTCAACAGCTTACAAGTTAGAGCAGAAAGGAATTCCTCTTGTTTGGATAGCTTTGTGCTTGGTAATCAAGCTTTTAAACATCCCCAGGCCTTTTAATCGTCATCCTTCCACCTGCCTACAGAATAAGAAAGTATTGCATGCACCCAATAAAGATGGACCACACAAAAAGCCCCAACCTCCTGCATTGCCCACTGTCTTACCAGAGCCGTTAGGAAGAAGAATCATGTAATCCAGAGTGAAAACAAGGGAACCTGAGACTCCTCCACCTTCCCCTTCCTCTCAGGCCTTGGACAGTGTCATCTCCTGGAAGAGGCACTTGTCCTGCAGATCATTGGGTGCTCAGGGGAAGCATCGCTGCCAGGGGAGAGCTGTGTCCCCTTCCCCCGAGCTCAGCCTTGCACAGACACATCCCCTCCCTACCCTGGGATCTTGCCCAACCAAGGAAGCTCCCTGTGCCAAGGTGTCACTCACAGCACAGAGTTATAAGGCACTGTCAAAGGCCTCGGCTTCCTGCAGCTGCAGGAGGCTGTATTTCCCCGTGGTGTTCAGCAACGTGGTGAGACGGCCACTCTGCTTGGAGCCAGCTCCTGCATGATAGGAGAGCAGCTGGGGAGCTTGGCCTTTCTTCAGCTGGTACCAGAGCAAGCCATTGAAGTAGGAGGTCTGGTATGTGCAGGTGGTCTGGAATTTACCTCCCTGCTTCACTGTGACTTGTTCTTTTTGCTGGGTGACTGTGATCTGCCCCATGGTGCCTGGAAGGAAAATGAAGGTCAGCAGCTCTGCAGGGAATGCCTCCTGAGGAGAGCTGTGCTGTGTCCCTGCTCCTCCTCCCTGCTTCTTCTGGTACTGCCCAGAGGCCCAGGGAGCAACCTGTCCTGCCTGACCTTTGTGTGCTGGGACCAGCAGCCCTCCAGCAGGTTGAGGGGCCCATGGAGCAATGGCAGAGAGGTTCATTGTGCTTATCCATCCTTGTCATCTGCGAGGAGTCCAAAGACACTTGAGCTTAGTTTGGAAAGAGGTAGCCATGGCTGTGTTGTCAAGCAGGAGCAAAGTGAAAGCCATGGCTGATATGTGCCAGCCAGTGCAGCACAGCCAGGGGCATGTTATTCATGTTGGTGGGGTCTAGAAGTTCAAAAGGCCTTTAGGAGTACCTTTGAAAAGTATTGTCTTATTTGGGGGAGAAAAGTGGGACTGCAGAGACAGCTGAGATCTCCTCTGGTGACAGCAGGTGGGTCAGAAGAGAGAGGCAGAGAGGGATAGACAGAAGGGGAGGAAAAAGCAAGGGAAAGGGTCTGAGCTGTCGCTTCTCTGTCTCCTCCCTTCATTTCCAAGGATAAGAGCACCCTGGGAGAACAGGTCCAAAACCACAGATGTGAGCCAACAGTTCCCAGCATTTTTCTGCTGTTCATGTGTAACTCCCCTCACAGAGCTGATACGGCTGGTGAGGGTTTCCTGGGGAGAAGGAGATACCCGCCCTGATGAGCAGCCTGGACTTACCAAGCAGCTGCCCCAGGAAGGCAGTGAGGATGAGGTATCCAAGGTGCATATCGAGATCGAGCTGCCTGTTTGTGGAGTGAGAGGCAGAAAAGCAGCTCCCAGCCCTGAGGTGACAGAGCTCCCGGAAATGACTCTGTGGGGGGAGTGTTAGATACAGGAAGCACAAAACTAGCACATATCACACAAAGTTTGACACTGCCAGCAAATATGTTGTGTCAGGGCAGATACAGGGGCTGAGTGAAGATTCAGTGGTCTGTGTCTTGAAGCCCTGATAGGGAATGTGGAATGCAGTGGAGGCTGCTTACCACATTCTCCCACCTAACTCATGGCAGTTTACTCCCTGCAGGTGCAGGTAAGGAAGTTTTGTGCTAATTGGAATGAATAATTGTCTGCCCACAGCCCCACTGCCACACTTTGAACATCAGTGTGCGGAAAATGCTGTTGCCAGAGGTCAATGTTCCAATAGGAGACAGAGGAGTCCTGTTAAAAAAACTTTATTTGAATAAAGGGAGAGTCAATGGGCAGATCCCGGTGGGGTCTCTCAGTTTGGCTGGGGGTTGCAGCCCCCTTCTTATCCTAAATTCCCAGCCACAAATTTCTCTCCTCCTTTCCCCATTGGCTGAGAAGTGTACAGACTTTCTGGTCTGCCTATTACATATCCCCTTGACATGTCCCCCCTTTCACATCAGGCATCGTACGTCTCATTAACTTCATTTTATGCCTCCCCGGGAGGAGAAGTTACTATGTAGGAGTTCATTAACTATGCGTACGAGTTCCAAAAGTTCAGAAGTTTAGGTTATCCAAACTTCTTGAGGTAGGTATCTGGTTTTGTTTAATTTAATCCAGTCTCCTGGTTGAATACTGTGGACAGCAAAATCCAAAGGCAAAATCTGTGCCAGGTGAGCTTCCTGTCGAAGAGATTTTACAAAAGACAGTATTCTGGCCACATATTGTTTTAAATATACATCACTTATTTCCACCTCCCCACATGGCCGAGAATGAACAGGGTAAGGAATTCCAAACATTAATTCAAAAGGGTATAACTGAACATCCCCTCTAGGTTTTGCCCATATTCTAGCAAAGGCCAGTGGTAACAGTTGTGCCCATGGCATTTTGGTTTTTAAAACTAACTTCAAGAGATGTTTCTTGGTTTCCCCATTCTTTTTCTCTGCCTGACCTGAACTCTGAGGATGCCGTGGGGTATGTAAATCCCATACTATTCCTAAAGCCATCATTACCCCACGAAGAGTCTTTCCTGTGAAATGAGTTTCTCTATTTGAGTCTATTGCTTCCACTATTCCATATCGTGGAATTATTTCTTCCAAAAATACTTTAATGACTGATCCAGTGGTTGCTGAGGTGACCAGAAATGCTTCTGGCCACCCAGTTAGCTGACATACTACAACCAAAAGATATTTAAGTCTTCCTGTTCAGGGCATTTCAGTAAAATCCACTTCACATCATTGGAAAGGGCATACAACCCAGGGTTGCCCTCCCCTGGAAACTTTTCATATAACCCAGTTATTGACTTTGGCACAAATCAAACAACCTTCAGTAGCCCCTTTTGCTAAAACAAAAAGATCTAAGGCAGCATACATCTTGAGGAAAGTTTCCACCAATCCTCAAGAGCCCATATTATTCCCTCCATGGAGGGGTTTCACTACCTGTAAGGCCAGTGCCTTCAGTACCCACTGTTTATTGACCCTTGTAAACTGTTTGTTTGGTTTGGTTTTGCCTCTTTTTTTTTTTTTTTTCTCTTTTCCTCTGCTCCACTATTTTTAATCATTTCCAGCTCCTTTAGTGGAAAACACAATTTCTCATGCAGCAGTTGAATCACAGGAAACAAAGAGAGGATTTTAGATACTTCAGGTAGCAGTGCTGCTTTTTGAGCTTATGCATCTGCCAGCCAGTTATCTATCATGTCTTCCAAGTATCCTGTTTGATGTCCTCTGACATCTAGTATAGCCACCTTCTTTGATAAATTCACCGCCTCCAATAGGCAAGTGATTAAACTTTTGTGAGCTAACGTTTTTCCCCTGTAGTTTTTCCCCTAATAATCCTCGTTCCTTCCACAATTTTCCAAATGCATGAGCCACCCCATATGCATATTTTGAATCTGCAAATACATTTACCACTTTTCCTTGATATAGTTCACGGGCTCTGACTAAGGCATATAATTTTGCAGTTTGTGCAGAGAGTAACCTCCCCCCCTTCTTGCAGTTCTTTTCCTTTTACAGATGCATATCCTGTAGCTCTTTACCTTCCATCATTCTTGAAGACCTGTCAATAAACACATTTTCCCCATTTGCCCAAGGGGCATCCCACAGCTCTTCCCTAGCTGGGGTCTGAAGATCTATCACTTGAACACAGTCATGAATTTCCTCCAGGTTCTCTCCCTCATGACAAGTTGAACAGGAGGCTGGATTAAATCCCTCCTCACTTCTTAATTTTAAACCTTCTTGTTCCATTAAACAGGTTTCATACTGTAATAATCTAGCACTCTTTATCCATTTAGAAGCTCTTTCAGTTAACAAAGCTTTAATCTGGTGCAAAACTTTAACAATGAGAGGTCCTCTCCCAGCCAACCTCTTGGCTCCAGTTACCACCACCAAGATCATGGCTGCACAGCCCCACACGTGGGCCACCCTCTGGCTACAGGATCAAACAGCTTGGAAAAAATAAGCCACTGGTCTCCCAAATGCCCCTGTACTATTATGCCAGATCTCCTTTAGAATGACCCTGTTTAACAGCTGCTTTTTTTTTTTTTTTTTTTTTTTCCCTTGGATTCCAACCCTTTTTTTTTTTTTTTTTTTCTCTTGGATTCCCACCCCCCAGTCTAGAAGGGTTAAAGCCAGAGCTGTAGTTATCTTATTCTTTAATTTTGCAAAGTTCTGCTTTCCTTCTGGTGTCCGTGTTACTACATTGGGAGTTAACTTGTTGTCATACTTACAGGGGCTGGGACCAGTTTATCCTTATGTGGGTAGAACCAAAATCTGTGTATTCTATACCCTCTATGTCATTGCTCATGGGCTGTTAACAAAATCATTGGTAGCAGCTGCCCAGGACAGACCTCACACCCCAGGCTACAATACAGAAGGAAAGAGATCCAGGGAGATGTTAACACCCAGCCAGACAGAGAAGATACACTCCTTGAGGTAACCTTTGTTTTTTTTCTTCAGGAGCATGGAGAAGACATAAGGAAGTGGGATGAAAAACCCACCTCCTCCTTAGCAGCCCAGGTACGTGAACTGAAAAGAGGGACACCTACCACAAGAAGCTCATCTAGAGTCAACGTTGCTCCAGTCTCTCTTGCACAAAACTCCAGAAGGTATAGGAATGATAATATGACTGATCCTCATGAAGGGACCTCAGGAACGTATTTACAGGAAGAAAGCAACGTGTACCATGACCAGGAATAGAGGGGCCCTGCCTCTAGCCGAGTAGAGGAAAGGGATAATTGGATCTATTGGACCGTGTGGATCCGATGGCCTGGCACATCCAACACACAAAGATATACGGCTTTGGTTGATACCGGCGCCCAATGTCCCCTAATGCCACCAAGGTATGTAGGAGCAGAATCCATTTCTATTTCTGGGGTGACAGGAGGATCTCAGCAGCTGACCATATTGGAAGCCGAAGTCAGCCTTGGCAGAGACTATCTCAGAAATGGATCTTTTGAAGACCCAAAAGGACATCGTTGGGCTTTTGGGATAGCTGTTGTAGAGACAGAAGACACCAGACAACTG